GACGGGGTGCCAACCCATTACAGGGCACAAGACAGGGAATAACCCAGGACGGGGTGCCAACCCATTACAGGGCACAAGACAGGGAATAACCCAGGGCGGGGTGCCAACCCATTACAGGGCAATATAATTCAGAAATCCTATAAAGTTTGGGGTCTATTTCTGGATTATACAATGAATGGCACAGGGAATTAATTACATTGCTTGCTCTTATTATGAATGTATATGATTATAGGCTTAGTCATCACTCTGTCCTCACATGCTTGCAGACACACATGGCTTTGTCGGGAGCAGACGGCAAACCCCAAAAAGGCAGGGGCTGGGCAGGAGGCGAGAACCGTACTACCTTCTCTCCGTTGGGGTTCCCCAGGACGTAGCACCCCATGATGTGGATGAGGTTGGGCTCGGGGTTCAGCTTGCTCATGAACCGGCTGAGTCTCTTCCAGAACCTGGTGAGTAAAGTCAGCCCCGTTACTGTCGGCCACCAGCTCATCCCGTAAAGCAGTGTTTCCCACTGCAGTCGTCGGAGACGCACAGCCGGTCCTCGCCTCTGCTCCCTCCAAGCTCCCTATCAGACAGTCCACGTTTTACCACAAAGACGTGGACTGTCTGTGGCGCCCAAGGATCAGATTGGGAAACACTGCCATAAAGAATCAACGTGCTCATGTGTCAGGATGAGACACCACGTAGAACACCGTCCAGCGGCAACATCCACTACACCGACGCAATTTCTTTATGCGTGTTCCTGGTCCTTTAATGGGCTGTAGCGACACAACTGTGAAATCTGACAGCGTAATTCCTCTCCCCATAATGCACCACTGACCCCCCCCCCCCCATAACTGTAGATCGTAAACTGTGGCCCATGTCATCCTCCCCCTTGTTTCTGTAATGGTAGGCTCTGTCCCATCTCTCCAAAGTTATCCTCCCCTGTGTTTCAGTGGATGGTAGGTTCTGCCCACCAGCTAGTTTAATTTGCAATTTCCATGCTGACTCCCTACTGCTCTTGACAGTGGTAAAAACATGGGTCTCAAAATAGGTCTCTGCATTGGGGAAAGCAGCGGTATTTACTCTCCCCACTCTGTAAATGAGCAGGGTTAATCACCCAGGGTTAAGGCAACAGCATAAGTACTAAAATATGTGACAATAGACATGAAGCCCAACCCTTAAACACAATGGGGGCACAAATTATTTAAATAATTTTGCAGCTGGACTGAAAACAGCTACAAATCCTGAGGAACCTTATCAGCAGAAAAAAATAAATTAAAACACATACTTAAAAAGATACGTTTCCTGCCTTGATTCTGCTTTGATTTTTTAAACCATATTAATTCCTTAATGCATATGTGTTTAAGCTGACAAAAGAGCAGACAAATCCCAATTTCACAGGTTAAGTCCCAGCCCCCCCCCCCCCAAACCACCACACAACAGGGATCCCCAAACAGGCGGGCAGAGGACGACGACCGCAAAACATGGTAAAAACGCGTCAAACAACATACTATCTTGCCTCAGCGGGGAATCCAAATTATTTCCTCTAAGCAGGATGAAGGAGCGAGAGGGAGAGACAGACAGAGAGAGAGAGAGAGAGGGAGAGACAGACAGAGAGAGAGAGAGGGAGAGACAGACAGAGAGAGAGAGAGGGAGAGACAAACAGAGAGAGAGAATGGGTGGGAGTCACTGTGTTAGTCATCTGAGCGTATTTTTGGCAAGACTGTGTGCTCACGCCCTAAAGCAGACAGCTCTCCTTACCTATTGTATATGTTTAGATCCCAAAATGCTCTTACCCTAATAATCCATCACTGAGTCTCTCCACACAATCTGTCGCGGTTGTGCTAGATTTTTACAGCCACTGGCCCAAATCCCCCATATGCATTATTTATGCCTTAATGTCTGCATGTAAAATCAAACAACGTTCAGACTGACTGCAGAGAGACCTGTTCTCTCCCATAATTGTGTATGGCGGACTGGTTGCTGAGGACTGGGCTCGAGGCAGTGGCTGGGGGGGTGGCTGGGGGGGGTGGCTGGATTGGAGCTGTCTCACTCACTGGCTCATGTCCTCCTCTTTCTCCACCTTGGCGAAGGTAGCCACCTTGTTCTTCAGCAGATACAGGTGTCCAGGGCCTCCCTGAGGGAGAGAGGAGCGTCAGGCCATACAGCAGCAAAGTACAGACGTGGAGCGCACACACACACACACACACACACGCACGCACGCACATGCACACACACACACACTCGTTTGTACTCATAGGTTTATGGGGACCATCCATTCATTTCTATGGGCAAAATCCTAATCCTTGTATGAAACCTTAACCCCTACGCAGCCCTAACCTTAACCATAAGTAACCAAACAAAGTAGAAGAACTTTTGGCATTTTTAGTTTCTTGATTGCAGTCACAGATATTTATAAAACTGAGTTCCCCTTGTGGGGATTGAAAAAATGGTCCCCATAACATCAAAATAGCAAGTTTTTATCACACTGTGGGGACATTTGCTTCGCACAGTGTAATATGTACATGACCACACACACACAAACACACACACACACACACACACACACACACAAACACACACACACACACACACACACCCCCCCAGAAGGTGGTGCCCTAGGCGGCCGCCTGTATCGCCTGTAGGATTGACCGGCTCCAGCACCTGACAGAAGAGAAGCATTCTCCAGATCTTGCAGCCCCTCCGGTAGGCCGTGAGCTTCTTATCAATCTCCTCTGCAGGGGCGGGAGGGAGGTGTGGGGGGGTCCACATTAAGCAAGCCATGAGTCGTTTCCATCCCAGGACATGTACACCCCCCCCCCCCCCCAAAAAAAAAAAAAAGCTTTGTGTTACCTACCCAGGATGTCGTCAAACGTGGCGTGTTCATGATCCTGTGCGGCAAAGGCAGAACGGGGAGGAGGGAACGTTAATATATAACATCAAGGACCTTCATTAACCCTGAGCAATGAACAAATATGAGCTGAGGCAGCAACGCCAAACAGTGCTCCTTGTGGCCATCCTAGGGTAGTGCTAGTCAGATTTCAGCGCCTAAATAGGTGTGTTCCTATACCTGTACTTCCCAATATAGTAATTATGCATTTTTAGAGTTCTTTATAGGGAACTGGGTAGAGTGGTGGCTCTGAGGCTAGGGATCTGCGCCAGCAACTGGAAGGTTGGTGGTTCAAATCTCATGAATGCCCAGAGTAATTCTACTCCATAGGGCCCTTGAGCAAGGTCATTAACCTGCAATTGCTTCGTCCTGGGTATGATGTTACTCTACATCCAGCCCTATAAGGAGGTTCTCCAACAGGGAAAAATTTGGTGGCAGGATTGGCACTCTAGCCACTGGAAAAAACTCATACTGGTCCATTTGGACTGGTGTGGTGCTGAGGTATCACCTGCCACACGGCTGCACTCAGGTTTTCACCCCTGACGTGGTTTGTCATGTGACGGGTGTGGCAACGCACTGTATCAGTGCATGCTCCTTACCTCTCTCTCTCTTCCAGAAAACTGGATTGATTGATTGATTGACTAATTGGCTAACTCATTGATTCATTAACTCACTTTCTGATCGATACATGGCGCAGACGCACAAAATGCCCTTTTATGGTCTGGCATGTTACAGGCACCTAGGCCCCCGATAAGAGTGTTGGTGGGCACACTGAAATGCATCCCCCCGTCATTGACCGTTTGCGTGGCATCCTGACGAGTTTAGGTGTAACAAAATATATTTATTGTGACGCCGAGTGGACCCAGGCTCCTGAGTGTCAGGCAAGAAGCAAGGCCACATCGTTCCAAATACCGGACTCTTTATTGTCAGCCTTTACAAGGACTCTTGTCCAACACAGGCACAACAGCAATACCCAAAAAAACACACAGAGAAACGTGGGGAGGTACCGTTACAAAGGGCAAATTATGCACGGTGAGAAGTTACAGCTTGTTTACAATTTGCACAGAGCATGCTGGGAAATGTCAATGTGCTCTGCTATGTGGAAGCTAGCTCACCGACGCTACAATATCATTAACAATAATAGAGAATAGAATTAAGAAATAAGCAGGTGTGAAACTGTCCTTCAAACTCTATTACCAGTGATGCACTTCTATCTATAATACATATAATATTGTCTTTCTAGAATACAGTGAAGAATGTTAAAGAGTAGTTACTGAAGAGCGGGAAGACTTTTTCATTAAGTTCCCCTAGTCATACAACTTTAGATTGATTTTCTGGGGCTGTGCATATCCAGGCTTTAATTTTTCGGGGGATACGGAAGCCTGAGGGGGCCCTCCCCATGAAGTAAACGCATATTTTCGCACCTTCATCAAGCTATGGATTTTTATTTTGGAAAAAAACAAGTAGCACAACATTGTAATGAATTTTCATTTGATTCTGTGTTTAGTGACCAGTGAGCAAATGAAAGATAGTAAATAGGTCAACAAGCAGAGATGCCTGAGAGACTTACATATAGGATGGGGATGATGGAGGGATCGTCCCGGCGGATGATGGTGGGCACATACTCAGCCTTGGGCACCTTGGAGGAGATCAGCTGCAAGACAACCAGCAGTTGTGGCTTAATGGTTAAGGAAGCGCACTTGTAATTGAAAGATTGTTGGTTCGAATCCCCAACCAGCAAGGCACCACTGAGCTACTCTGAGCAAATTATCGCCCCCAAGCACGGCTCCCCGGGTGCTGAATTAGCTGCCCCCTGCTATGTCATGATGTCACATATGGGTTAAATGCAGAGGACACATTTTCTTGTTGTGCTGTGGTGTGTCAACAATGACCACTGATCTCTAAATTCATATCCCACCTCCATGATTCACTCAGGACTGTCCCCCTACCCGTCATGCATGGCACTGTCATCATCAGCAGATCTGGATGTGAGTCTGTGATTGGTCAAGAGTGTGGGTGTGGCCTGGTGTTTGATCGAGCTCTAAGTGGATGTTGGTTGATTGGGGCAGTGTGTGGCTCGGTGGGTAAGCACACTGTGTCTGTGATGGGAAGGTCGCAGGCTCAAATTCCAGGATTGGCAGAGCAATTTCACTGTTCGGCCCCTGAGCAAGGCCCTTAAACCCTAAGTGCTTCAGGGACTGGGTGACCCTGTATATAAGTGTATCTTGGCGACCTGAAAAGCTGCTCACCATGATTTTAGGAGGAATGAAGTCATCACCCTCACAGGCCACTCGCTCCAATTCACGCTCTTCGTCCCAATCCAGGTCATTGCAAACCCCTTCTTCCAGTGTCCCGCCGGGGGCCTGCAGTTCTCCACCTGCCGGATAGGGGGTGGTAGGGAGACAGATGAATGTTAGTCAGTGGGTAAACCAAACATCTAGAGAAATTGTGAAGGGAGGTATGGGGGAGAGGAAATGAGAACATTTTTTTTGTGTATTTTTGGTTCCCTCCTACTCAAAATTCACAGAAAAACCAACCATATCACTGCTAGAGAAGCAGAAACACTGACGCACAGCAAATCCATGCAAAACAACTGGGACCCAGCTGAAGGACATAAAGGGACAATTCTATAAAAATGAAGCATGTAGATGAGAAACGGGACCACACCCCCCCCCCCGCACACACACACACACACACACACACACACACACACACAGGGAGAGACAGATACTCACAAGGATGGAGACAGCGTCAGGGGGTCAGGAGACAGAAGCAGGGCCATGAAGGGACAGAGGTACTGAGCCAGAGGTACATGGCCGGCGGACAACGAGTCGTGTGCGTGTGCTTCCACGGTGTGGCCGGAGACGGACGCTGCGCTCTCATTGGACGGGGACGCATGCTCGATTATGCACCTTGCCACACGTTTAACTTTCTGCCCGCTTTGGCAATGCGATGTACATTCAGCTGCCAGAAGCTATTTCCGGATCAGTCTGCAGTCGGACCCTCAGATGCATTTTGATGTCTCACGATGTCTCACCTCTGGCTGTGAGGCGCTGTGTGTGAATCTGTGTCAGTGTGACTCCAGGTTAGTGTACAAACACATCTCTGATGTCATGTGAGCTGCAGGTTTCTGACGTGTGTGTGTGTGTGTGTGTGTGTGTGTGTGTGAGTGAGAGGACTCACTGTCTTTGGAGTCGTGTGGAGGGTCAGGCTTGACCGGGGTGGGGTCACTCCAGGAGCGGCTGAAACTCTTCGGTCTGCGATCAGCGAATGCTAGCGGGGGGGGGGGGGTTTCGGGGGGGTTAGATACCATCACACATACAGACCCTTCCGACCAACCGCATGTATACCCACACTCATCTCACACAGCACATCTCACACCTTCTGCCATGATGGGCATCTCTGTAGCTGCCTGCTGATGACCTTAAGACCTCCAGGGAGAAGAACCTCAGTCCACGTACCTGCAGTGGCCTCCCGCCTGAACAGGGCACCATGTGACACACACATGGACACACACTCAACACCCTCACTGGCAGACACACACAGGTGGATTGGGCTGATGGTTCTGCGATGGGGGAGCGGGTGACCAAGACCCACTGACTCACTCTGCGCCTTCATCCTCCTGCTGCCCACCATCCGGAGGTGCTTCCGGAAGTTTCTGCGGAGTGGGGGTGCGGGGAGAGAGCAAGAGGAGTAGACCGGGGAAATGGGCAGAAAGAGGAGGAGGTCAGAAGAAGATTTGAGAAAAGGCAGTGGAGGAGGAGGAGCAGGACGTGCACAGAGGAGCCAGCAAATGAGGAGGGAGGAAGAGGAGGAGGTACGAAGATGGACAGATGGAAGGAACCAAAGTCAGAGAGGTGAAACGTGGAGAAGGGAAAAAGACATGAATGATTAGCATCTGATGGGACCTTCAAATATGAATTATTCAAATGAATCCTATTTTCAAGCCCATCTCATTGTCGAATAGTTTGAAGCTGTACAGTTACACAGCTGAATGTCTGTCTCCTCAGGGCAGGGATATAATAGAGACCTAGATCAGTGCTTACATTCCAATTAAACCCAGCTCTTAATTAACCTTGAGGAACACTGCCACATGCTAGTTCTAGATTGGAAGACACACAGATGCCGAATGCCTGCCCCCTACTGGTCAGTGTAAAAAGACAAAGGGGGTTGCACTGCAGTTGCGACCAGAAGGCTGAAGGTTTGAGCCCTGGAGTCTAACCAAAAGTCTAACCAAGTCAAATGTAAACATGTAGATATTCCTACTATTTCACAGCAGATCAGGTACAAGAAAATGCTCATTTCTGGGCTACCAATGTCCTGCAGCCATCACACAAGCACAAACATTCATAAGAAGTCAACAGATCTCAATCCATGCAGAACCTCACTCCTCATGCGAAATGGTGATCGGGCACCTAGACCAATGTTGCAGAAGGTAACAGAACCTAATGGTACCTTGTGTGACCTATATCAGTTTGATTAATAGTGTCTGGGAGCACATAACGCCTCGTGGCATCTGTAGTATTACAGCATTTGTGAGTACGTAGCATCTGCCAGTGTAAATCAGATGGTGACTGCACACACTAGCATCCCCAACTGAGAGCGCATGGGCCCGCCTAGTAACTGTGGACCCACATCATCTGTGTTGATATAGAATTTGTGAGCACACAGCATTTAGTATTATATGTATAATGTGTAGCTTGCAGGAGCATTGCATCTGTGTTTATACAGCATCTCCATGCCCTATATCTGTGTTTATATAGCATGTGTACCTTGTATCTGTGTTTATATAACATTCCTGTGCCTTGTATCTGTTTTTATAGCATGTGTGTGCCTTGTATCTATGTTTATTTAACATCCCTGTGCCTTGTATCTGTGTTTATTTAATATCCCTGTGCCTTGTATCTGTATTTATATAACAACCCTGTGCCTTTTATCTGTATTTATATAATATCTCTGTGCCCTGTATCTATATTTATATAACATCCCTGTGCCCTGTATCTGTGTTTATATGGCATGCATGTTCCTTGTATTTGTGGTTGTATAGCCTGCATTTGCCCTGTCTGTTTATGTATCATTTGTGTGCCATGTATTTTTGTTTATATAGCACATATGTACCCTGTATGTTTATTTAGCATGTTTGTGCCTTGTATGTGTTTATACAGCACATGTACTCTATCTATGTTTATATACCATATGTGTTCCTTGTATCCATGTTTATATAGCACACGTGTGCCCTATATCTGTTTATACAGCACACATTTGCACTGAATCTGTGTTTATATAGCACATGTGTGCCCTATATCTGTTTATATAGCACGCGTGTGCACTGAATCTGTTTATATAGCACGTGTGTGCACTGAATCTGTTTATATAGCACGCGTGTGCCCTTGTATCTGTTTATATAGCACGCGTGTGCCCTTGTATCTGTGTTTACGTAGAATCTGTGTGCATCTGTTACCCAGAATAACCCCAATCTCCTTCACTTTCAGGGATAATCCCCCGCCAACATCCTGCTGGCGCACCTCCCTGAACCAGAGCCGTCGTCACCAGCCCTCAGGCTCTCCCTCAGCTGTTCTGTCAGATCTTCCCCTGCAGTGCTACGCTCTCTGCTGGCAAAAGCAGGTCATGTTCTCTCATGGCACAGCGATTGCAGAGCAAACGCACAGAGCGGGCGGACATGGCTGGATGGAGACCCTCGCATTCCATAACCACGGCAACGCTACGGGTAAGGAGGTGAGGTGCCAGCGCTGCGTGGGCAGGGAGGGAAGGTGAGGAAGAGAGGGATGCAAGCCTTAGCCTAGTGGAGATGGAAAATGGCTTTTAACTGCGGCACGGAGGCTCTGGCTGTGCTAAAGGCCAGCCGTTCAGCTCTCACACCCCTAGAGGGCGCCATCGCCGCCATCTTCCCCATGACCCAATGTCATACTTTCCAGCCATCGCCACGCCATCCATCTAAAGTGCCACAGATGGGGGTGGGACAAAATAGGACCCGGGAGGGGGATGGCATCATATGTCTGGGGTTGCATGTCCTCACCTGTGACCAATCAGCGGAGCGATAGATGAGACTAACGTGCCCCACAGGTGCCACTTTCCATAGGGTGCAAAGCATTCCTGACCACACACATGAGGGCCCCCCCCCCCACCCGCACCTGCCAGGCACTGCATGACATCACACATCTGCTGCATCCTGCTTATAAGTCCTTTGTAACCCCCATGTCACAGAAGCACTCAATATATACTACATTTTACTATATCTTTTTATTAATTTAATAAATCATTATAATTCTTCTTAATCTTCCACTGTGATTAATCCTGTCTATCCTAGCTCCCCTGATGATGCTACACTTATTCAGCCAATCACAGCAGGCGCTGCTGAAAAACCACTTAAGTACGCCCCATTGGTCACATGACCTACGTCCATGGTGGCCTTGCCAAAAATTATGTTGTAGGTTTGCTGCTCTGCAGGCTGCATCACTTCTGTCACTATGGTAACATAAGATGCAGGCAGGCTGAATTTCCCATTGGGAACAATGCACTGGGCCTGTTGGCGGCCACCAGCCACCGTCACCGTTTCCCTAGGTACCCCACCCCGCTGAAGCTCCTATAAGATGTGAGTTACGACATGTCACAGTCCCCACTATGTCACACCAAGCACCTCTGAGTCACGTGACAACAGACACTCTCCTGCATATAGAGCTCAGGAGTCGTGTCACAAGTGATTAAACTGAACACACGAGCAGGTCATGGTCATGTGATACCAGAGTGATCAGAATGAGGAGGATGGAACAAGCCAGCAATATGGACGCAAGCTGGCAAGAAGCAAAGGACAGCGGAAGCCCTGTGTCAGGTGCCACAGTCAGACCACCAGGTGGCGTGGCATGTAAAGTAATAAAACTTGAAGTCACTGTGCCAGAAAACCGGGAAAGGAAGGACAGTAGTGTTGAATCCAGCATCCAGAACACTCAGCATCCAGCTACAGTCTTCTGTAACAACAATATCAAATGAATAATAAAATAATGCTACAGGACCAGTGGTATCTCAGTCACTTCAGGATGGAACTTTCTATTAGTCCTTTTAGACGCCACCCTGCCCAGTAGTTTCCGTCTCATCGCATCACCTGTGTTGTTTACTCATATATAAACTCCATTTCGATTCCAAATATTCAACACGTTTATGGGCGCATGCAATTTTAATGAGAATTCCAGACGAAATCATTACAGGTGGTCTGGGAGGCGGTGGGAACAGACTCCCGAGGGGGGGCCTAAAACCCAGCAGGGCTGAAGCGACAGCAAAACCGTTGCTTATTCCACAGGACATTAGATGGATAAGCAAACATTTATAACTAGGAAGAGGAAAAGAATGGATTAGCTGGTTTTTGTCTGTCCTTGGTCTACAGGGAAGTTTCAGGGGAGGAGCTAAACTAGAGAACTGTGACGATCCCGCTGCCCCCCCCCCCACACACACACACACCCGAAATCCGGCCCTCCTTTGTCATTAGAGTATTCAAATTAATTGGCATCTGAGCAAGTGGCTCTTCCAGAGGAGTGTGCTGTGGTTCCCGGTGCCCGCTGCCCCCCC